CACCGTCGCTCGATGTTTGCTTGAGCGACAGCGTCACCATCGCTCTATGTTTGCTCGAGCGACAGTCTCGCTCGCTCGAGCGAAAAGCGAGCGAAGTATGTTCTGCTCAGATTTTTGAAGCATTGCTCGAGCGAAAAGTTAGCAAAGATGGAATGTTACAACTATTCGAAAGATTGCACGATTTGGCCCACACCACTTCATCCACACCCCTTCCTCCTCTATAAATAGGACTCCTTGGACGTCCCTAAGGGCACACCAACTCATATTTTGCATTGATCACTCTTCTTCTCTTACAAAATCTCTCTCCCTTTTTCTTGCATAAAAACTCTTTGTAGAGGGGAAAATTTCGTCGGTTCACTGGTTCTTGTGGTGTGAAGTGCTGCTACCACAAGATCAAACATCCGTTGTATTTTGGGAGACAAGTGCCGTCAACCGTGAGCACCATAGCGGGGCAATATTGTCTTAAGGAGAAAGTGCCATCACTTGCCTCGGATTTCATTTCTTTTTCTTCTCCTTTTCTTGTTTCATTTTGATACCTTTTTTTGTGCTTTTGTACTACAGTTTCAAGTTCACATATCGATAGTTTAATCACGTTCTTGGGGGTTAAACATTAATTTGTTTTGATACAAACATCAACAACCATCATACTGCTCGCATAAACCCCGAAACTAACAATCTTAAGACAATATTTGTCAGTGGTTGTTTTGGTTTTGTTTTGGTTTAACCCATACTTTGTTCTTCATTTTGGAATAGTCTTTGTGCACTGTTCCTTTTTCTTACTTTGCGTTGTGATAATCTTCTATTTTTGTAACAGAAATGAGTACTGTAGAAGCTTCAAGTCAAAACGGTACAAACATGATTACGCTTATGGCTATAAACACTTCAATCCCATATGGTGAAAAATCGAAAAAATTTAGTGGCGTGGATTTTAAGAGATGGCAACAAAAGATGTTATTCTATCTCACTACCCTTAATTTGGCAAAGTTTTTAAAAGAAACCGCGCCATCTGTACAAGAGGGAGAAAGTAATTGTGAGTCGATTATTGCATTGGATGCATGGAAGCACTCGGACTCTCTATGCAAAAACTACATTTTGAATGGGTTGGACAATACACTATATGGGGTGTATAGTTCTAAAAACTCGGCCAAGGAATTGTGGTATTCTTTGGAAAATAAATACAAGACCGAGGATGCAGTAACCAAGAAGTTCATTGTGGGCAAGTTTTTGGACTACAAAATGGTAGATACCAAAACTGTGATAAGCCAAGTGCAAGAAATTC